GCAGCTCCTCCTGACCCCAAGGCGAAAGCTCCACCTGCACAGGAAGACTCAACTCAGGCCACCCCAGCCGGTGAGCCCACGCAGGAGAATGAGCTCAAAGGCACGATCATCCCGAAACATACACTTGGACACATTGACAAGTATCGGATCATGCTGGACGAGAACATTAATGCGGAAGTAGTTGAGCATTGTGTTGTGGACTCCCATCCATATGAACTGATCACAAAAACATGTTGGGAGATGGATGGAGCCGAGGAGCTGAGGTACCCAGATCGCATGGACCGACACAAAACCAAGGTCAATGCAGTGACACGTGGACAGCCAGGTCAGGACACCTCTGGATTTGATGAAAACATGTGGCTTGACCTTGATGACTTCTTTCGAATGTTCAATCAAATGCTGCCAGCCAAGTTACCCCGAATGACGGTTGAAGAGCTCATTTCCCTTCTCTACTGGGACAGCAAGTGCCGTTTTGAGTTCCAGTGCATTGCCGGATACCAGAAGGCAACCCGTAAAGGGTTAGCCTACTGGCCCATCAGGATCCGCGCAGTGCAGGGGCACACGAAACGTGCCATGGATGCTGCCTCGGCCGAGGACACATTCAATGCGGTGGAAATCTATGCGCTGTCCGGGGCGGCAGCCATCCAGAAGATGAACGCCAAAGGTAAAAAGATTACCACACCGCAGATGTGCCCAGGCGTAGTCTATCACAGGACTACAAAAGGCAATTGGAAGGGGATCATTGAGAATGGTTTCGTGGCTGGAGGAGGAGAACGAAATTCATCAGGCAGAGCACACTCCTATTTTAGCGAAGTGCGTGTCGACGAGAAAGAGTATGTCAGCGGCCTGCGTGCTGAACGACCCATTGAAATCAGGGTTGCAATGGCTGAAGCTGTCAAAGCTGGAATTGTGTTTTTCAGGACAGCCTCTGACGGCATTCTTACAAGTGATGTCGTGCCGCCTCGATACATTATTTCGGTCGATGACACTGCCAAAAAGGTGAATTTGTATCGTCGCCAGCAGGAGGTCGCACAGTCTGCAGCAAGCAGTGGGGGAGAAGTTGGAGTCCAACAGCTTGTCGAGACCTTTGAGGCCAAGGCATCAAAACAGGCTGGTTCCAAGTCTCCGGCCGCCTCAACTGGCGCGCCCACTGCAACAGCATTTTTCCCAGGAAAGGTGAAGCCTCCGCCACCAAATGTGGCCCAACTTGCCGGTATGCCTGGATATGCAAGCAGCAGATTGTTGCCCCCTCCTCCGAAAGGCGAAGCTCCGAAGCCTCCTGCAGCAAAGGTTGAAAGCCCAAAGACACCGCCGAAAGTACCTCCAAAACCATCACCGAAGGAAGGGACTTCTGCACCTCATGCACCAGAAGTTCCAAAAGCTGTGACCTCAGAAGTTGATGCATCAGCAAAGGAAGAACCTGCAAAGAAGAAGGCAGCCCTGACAAGCGTGCCCGCAGCTGTGCCTGCGGCATCATCAGCTGCGGCCTTCTTGGAGCCTGTGTCGAAAGTTGCACCGCCAAAGGCAGTACAGAAAGATCCAAAAGCTCCAGTTGCAGGGTCACCTTCAAAGACGCCGGCATCAACATCCAAGTCACTGGTGCCAAAGCAGAAGTCTCGCCCTAAAGGCGATGACCAACCTTCGAAGAAAGAGGAAAAGAAGGAGGACAAGAAGCCGGTGCCAGTCAAGATTGAAGTCACGCAATGTTCAAGATGTTTTGCTCAGACTTTCAAGGGACAGATCGAATGTGATGTGTGTGGCTTGATGCTCGAAGGGGTGAACAAGGCCGACCGCACCAAGATTGCAGAACGAAGGAAGGCCGCCCTTCACAAGCTGGGCTTGTACTATGACTTTCGTGGCGAGTACCTGCAGAGCATCACACACAGTCAGCTCGAATCTTTGGGTTTGTTGGACGACCAGGCAAGAGGAAGCTCTAGCCCTGAAGCTAGTTTGTTAGCAAGGGCGAAGAGTCGATTCGACCGTGCCTTGAGCTTGGGCTATGTGTCTGTGGCAGACAGGTTTGCTCAGGATGCCACATTCGCAGAGAGCGTGCTGAACGAGGGGGAGAACGAGTACGATTATGAAAGGTACGACCTCCTCAAGTCTGCACATCTGCCGAAGCCAGGTCGTACCAAGGCTCAGGTCAAGATGGGTGTTTCCGAGCAGTCTCAGCTCGAGCACAACGCAATGAGGCTGGTTTACTTGGATCTTGCCAGTCGTCTTGACGTCCCGAAGTCCTTCAGGTACATCGATCAACCGTGGTTCTACATGTACCGGACCGAAATCTACTCTGAGGAAGAATACATCGACTATCTGAACCGGAATCCTTAGCACAATCTTTTGTTGTCTTGTACTGGCGTTGACAACATTGCTGTTCATGATGCTGAACGGCACTTGAGGTGGATTAAGGGCCAAAACGAGGAGCTGTACAAGCAGAACGCTGCGGAGAAGAATAAACAGTCTGACAGGGCTCGCGAACAGAACGAGGCCAAGCGCAAAGCTGAGCAGACTGGTGCGTACGGCCAGGGTCCTTCCAAGAAAGGCACCGTCAAACCGGTTGCCCGAACATCCACCGTAGAGGTAGCTTCATCATCAACGTCTGCAAGTCAGTGGATCAACCGCCCTCAGCAAAGTCAGTCCCATGATGACCGCCGTTACACTGGAGAATGGCAGAAGTGGCACAGGCGCTGGTATGAGAAAGTTATCAGGCATGGCCGAGTTGAATGGGAAGAGGGATAAGTTGTGAAACTGCTTGCATTGACGATCGATTTTTGTATCATAGCCGCTGTTTGGGTTTCCTCAGGTCGTGCAAAAGAGCCAGGAGCGGTAAGGCAGACCGAAATGGTCTCGCCCTGGTAAATGGGCAGCCTTGCCGTGACCGGCTCACCTGAGGGGGGTGTATTTGCACTCCACCATAAAACCCATGTATAATAGCATGCTACCACAGCTGATGCGGCTCGAGTAAAAAGCGTGAGTCGCAGGTGCTTAACGGTTTGTTTGACCTTTGTTTAGGTTTATCAGTCTATCTGGGTATAACATAGTTTACCCCGCTGAAACCTGAAAATACAGCAATACCTCTCCTTTTCGAATGTTTTCAAGCAGGTTGTCATGTGGTTTTGCGTGGCAGGCGTGGCACTTTGTGACATGTCGAAAGTTTCAAAATTGGAGGAAGTCTCGCACCAAATGCTCGTTTTGCTGCGCCCACGTGTTTCGTCTCGAGTCTCTGGTTTTCCTGTGGCGTCGCCATGTCTATGGGGGAAGCTGCACAACCTCTCCTTTTCCAAGGTTTTCAAGCAGGTTGTCATGTCGTTTTGCGTGGCAGGCGTGGCACTTTGTGACATTCCAACCTGTCTTATACCGTGTCGAAAATTCTTTTGTGTGGCTGGCGCAACAAAGCACTCGCCTGCCACGCAAAATGACGATGGACACGTCCAAAGTTTTGCGCCTGCCACGAAAAATGCAACGCATCTTCGGAAAACGTCGCGAAAGTATTGCGCCTGCCGCACAAAACCATTTTCGACACGTTACAAAACACGTCTGAATGTCATGAAGTGCCACGCCTGCCACGCGAAACGAAGCAACGAGACGTTTGAAACCTACAAAAAGCACCCCTTCTGCAAAACTTACCATAGGCACGGCCATGTAGCAATCGCGCGGACGGTTGCGAACGGTTGCGGACAGTTGCGAACGGTTGCGAACGTAAACGTAACGTCGAGCGAACACACCCTCAGCTCCCAGACCCCCAGAGTGAAACAGGAACCCTTGCTACGCATTCGGGAAAAAAACACATTGAAAATGTATGAACATGAAGTCAGGGACGCATATGAACTAGAGGGGTTTCTTGGTCGTATTCTGCATGTACCATATGTACCTTAAGCAATCATGGGAGTGGCCGCCCCCATTTGCATACAATTTACTCACAAGCCATGGCCGTTTCCGTTGAGAATCCATGGCCGTTCAGATTGGAATCTCCATGGTGTTGGTGAAGCCCTCGTGGTTGTTGTCTCCAAAGTGATGCCTGCAAAGTCTAAAGTGCGTGAACTGTTGGTAGTGGTTCTCCCATGCAATTCCAATGAAGGCATCTGATTGTCATATTTGATTGTCTATACGATATGCTTTAGTTTATATATATATATCATTATATATCCCTAAGGATCAAAAGATGGTGCTATAAATTCACTTATCAGAAAGTATTTGTTTTCAAGCTACTTAGGGGTTAAAGGGTGGTAAGTGCATCAAATTCCCATACTTAACGGAACTCGTGTTTTTCCGATAAAATTGGGAATCAGATTCAGAGCAATACCAAGAATCTCAAAGCCATGTGTTTTTGTCTGTCCATGAAGATCTGGTTTTGAAGGGGTTGTCACGGGCTGTCACGGCCTGTCACGGTCGTTTTCCGATAAGTCACGGGGTGTCATGGGTTCGTCACGGTCTGTCACGCACAACCCAAAAGTAGATCCTAACAAATTTTGACATATTGGGTCTTTTAATCATTACTGTTGCCTAGACATCCAGGAAAATCCGACAAAAATCCGGGATAAACATATATAAAAATCCGATAAGTATATGTTTTTGGGCATTGTCAGAAAAGTACCCTTGTGGGACCTACTTTGCCGATACTGCCCTATTTGTCTACTTCGATCCTCAGGGTATATATAACTATATATATATACGAACCGCTATTGGCTATGGGCCGAAATGATTGACTGATTGACCCCAAAAGGATGGGTTTACAGAAAGGATCAACACTTTCGCGTGAAACTAGCAGCCAGATCATGTTCCTTTCCAGAATCAGAAGGGACATTTACACGGTTTACCCAGAGCAGTTTGTAACTAAGAAAAAGTAAACCACAGAAGTCACATCCACCTTGGAATTTCATCGACCAAATGGGGAATCCATGTTCGCCGTTAAATTCCCAGGGGGATTGAGTTGCTATAAACAAAGTCTATGGTTTCCTCATGTTTCCTGCAATTGTACTTCAATCCATTCGAGTCACGAGGGCTTTCAGCAGCTCATTCCGGGGCTTTGCCCCGGAGCGACGCCAAAGGCGCCCAAAAAGGAGGTGCGGCCAAAGGAGAACCCCCAATTTTTGGGGGAGGGAAAAATTGCGTGAAACCAGCAGAATGTTAGAATTATTGTTCAGAACTGGGACTGAAACATACTGAAACCATCTTAAACCAGCGTCTTTCTTTGTTCCAAACAGAAATAGGGGGTGAAACCATGTGAAACCAGCCAAAAAAAAAGACAGGGTTCACCTGTTAATTTCATGTCGTTAGGGAATCAAGGGAAAACCGTGGGTTTCATGATGTTTCATGGCCCGTTGGACGAGGATCCCAAAGTTCATCAACCGGTGAATTCAGAAGTTCATTTTGTTTGTCCTCATTTCCATGATTTCCATGCGCAAATTTACACTATCCCTATCTATATTTTGACATTTTGTAGCGAATGATTCTTATTTGGTTGTATGCATGATCCGGCATTACCTAGACACGGGATAGATAGAAACAAATACTCGTTGCCTACACAAAGCAGACAATCAAGCTATACGGGTTGCCCTAAAACTGTGGTGCCCACAAACCCAATGATTTTAAAACGTTATATTCCCACGTGAAAAATGCCATAAAATGGGAACCAATATGAACCAATCATCATTTGTCAGGCACAAGCCGTGAAGCAGCAGGCGAATCGGGTGGCATTGGCAATCCTCTAACGGGACGCGCTCGAGGTTGGCAATGGTTGATTCAACCCAGATTTCAGACCTTCCAAAGTTGTGATTTTTGGCACGGTATATTTGAAGAAATTGTATGTATACACTGTATACACAACATTAAACCACAATCAATTTCAAACTCTTCGTGTCTGACCCATTAATAAACAGGAGCTCTGTGAAACGCTAGACTTTTTATGACTAAACAACTTCTCCAGATGCGTTTAATCTCGCCAATTTCAACAGAATGATGTTGCAGCCTCGGGGGTCAAATGTCTAAAATGTGGTTAGTTGATCTGTTTGCCGCTGCTTCGGCCCAATCGATGTCTTACTAGACTCATGAACATTCTTTACCGCTCAGAGGGTGATTTGTTGAATGCTAAGTCATTGCATTTTGATGCATTTTGGGCAGTTATTTTGAGCCATTTATCAAAATAGGTACGTTAGCTGTGATACTAAGTACCCTCTGGTAAACTAATATAGCTATGAAAAACCACCATGTTGATAGGAAAATAATCATTATTGATAAATCATATGTATATAAATGATTGTAAATTGATCCTTTTCAATAGCTACGTTAAATTACCTGAGGGTAAGAATGCATCATGTACCCTACATCTATCTCTACCTATCCCAATTTGGATGGATCATGCCAGGTAAGATGTTCCCACTTGAATTCGGGAGGACTGTTCATAAGAACCAGCTATTTTGATGTCAAAAGGGATTGATCACTAGTTGTTTTGACAGTACCGACAGTACCAAAATTCCTTGTCCCCCC